CTTAAAACAAACACTAAACCGTAAAAATAATAACAAAAAAAAGCAACCTGACGCGGCCCTCACCCCCACCCCTTCCTTCATTTTGTGTCTTCTACAGTTGGGTATTCCTAGGAGTGAACAAAACAACCCGCAATCCGACCCACCCGTCCAACCCGATCCAACTCACCCGTATTTATCATCAAAATTAAAGTTGGGTGAGGGTTTTCTTTTGTACAACCTGCCTCTATTGGGTTGGGTCCGGATTTTTGGGTAACGCAACCCGTAGAACCCTATCCAACCCGTGTTGAACTATTGTCATAAGTGTTCGTATACAACACATGTTTGTGTTGTAAATAAAAATATTTGCGAGAAAATTAAGCTATATTATCATATTTTTCTTTTGTAGTTTCTCTAGTCTAATACATTCTTCAACTTAATATTGTGATGTAGATTTAATATAAGCTATGATTCACGTAATTTTTTTTTCTTGTGTGTACAATTTTAGAAGAAGAATATATTATGAATATGTTACCTTATAACTACTTTAGCTTACTTCGACAAATATTTATGATAAAAACTAAACATATGAAGTAAAATACATTTTATTAAAATCAAGACAATATTTGTGCATATTGAAATCTTTTGCCTCGATTTATTTGTTTAGAATCTTAATTAGTTATTTACTATTTTCGTAGTCTATAATAGTTGTCTTTTTTGTGTTGGGTTGGATATTTAATTAAAAGTATCTTCAACCCGACCCAACCCAATTATAAACAAACCATAGGGTTTTAATTTTTTTGGGTTAGATTGAATTTAACATTTTTAAAACCGTAGCATATAGGTTGGATAATTAAAATGACCAAATCCGAATCGCCCGACCCATGTACACAGTACACCCCTAGCACATTCCCCCATTTTTCTCAATTTTCTCCCATTTTCCCACCCATATTGTGGGATTCTTTTGCATTTCCCCCTAAACCCACCCACATTGTGGATGGTCTAAGAGCCGAGGTCGGTGGAGATAGCCAAGCCTTGGTCGTGTTAAAGTAAACAGCAACGTTGGATGTGATGGATGTGGAGATGGTGGAACCGTTAGTAGTAGAGATGCACTGAACAAATCGCGCATCAAATGCACATTGTGAGTCTCGATGCACTGAACAAATGTTCAACTAAACTACCTCAAAGTATCCATTCAAAAAGACTAACCACAAAGTCCCTTAAAATGTTTGAGCACTAAAATGTCATTGATACAAAACACGGTACTCCAAATAAAACAATTTACTCATAGTTTAGGGTAACACCAAAAGTGAGCAAACCAAGCTCATATAAGCTTAATTGAAGAACTAGGGTGCCTTTGGCCGCACTTTGCTGCGGCTTCAAGTTTATAATTGGATAGTTATTTATCAGCCCATTTGTGTATGAGTAAGTGATCATCTAGTAAAAGTGAGATGGTAGAAGCATTGGGCTTAAGTGGAGTTCTTATGTTAAACGAAAAATAATTCAATCAATAAACTAATAAATATTATCCCTCAAGGAACAAATGAGAAAATGATTTTTTGTTAACATTTTTTTCGTGACTCCTATCTCATCACATCCTGATTTTCTTCTTCCGATCAGTATCCTCCTTTCGCCATTCTAGTTTTGTTCAAATCCTTGTTATCCCAGTTTCCCTCCCTTTAATTAACTAGGGCTGGCTATTTGGACCGGGACCGGATGAAAAACCGAAAACCGGACCGTATAACCCGGACCGAGACCGGACCGGGACCGGATAGTAAACAATCCAATCCAATCTTTGGGCTTAGATTTGAGGTAAAAAACCGGATAAAGACCGGATAAGAGAGCTCAACACCCAAAACTTAAGGGTAATTTGCATAAACGGTCACAAACCTTTGCACTTAGTACAAAACTTAACCAACTCCTCACCCTTTTAGGCCTTAGGCCACTCAAATTCCCACAATCTCAATATAAAATCAAGACCGAATTGGGACCGGACCGTGTCAAGACCGGACCGGATCAAGACCGGATTGTATCCAATCCAATCTTCGGTCCTTATATTTTCAAAAAAACCGGACTGGACCGGATCAATTTGGGCCAATTTAACCGGACCGGACCGTATAGCCACCCCTATAATTAACCCATTTTGCATACATGATCGAAAAAGAGCAGGATAGATCTAGATACGAATTAGATGAAATTAGATGCCTCCATCTCCAACTTTGGAACCCAATATCATCACCCCACGCCCGAATGGCGTGGTCGCTCCAACCGCCTCTGTATTACTACTCTCTTCTCCCATTTTTTCATATCAAAGGGTAAGAGTCGTTTTCTCCTTAAAAAATCATTATACTTAATATGCAAGAAGATGGATAGTTCCCATAATCTTGTCGAAGCCGAATCATAGCGGTAGGGTTGTAAATTGAAGATGACATTTACTTAGTGTTTACACCATAAAATTTGTCTTGTACCACATTGGTGAGTTACAAGATAATTAATGAGTTTATAAGGCCACACCCATTATAACAATTAATGTTGTTTCAGTTGGGCCTTATGGATATTGATTTTAGGCCCAAGCCACTAAGTCTAAAGAGAGGCCATGCCGCCTCAACGAAGAGGCCATGCCGCCTCACCAATAAGACCGAAGGATTGAAAATTTAACTAAGTCTGGAAGAGGTACATGCCACTTCATGAAGAGGCCATGCCGCCCCATGACCAAGGCCTAATGACTAAAAAATAAACTAAGTCTGGAAGAGGTACATGCCACTTCAAGGAGAAGCACGTGCCGCCTCACGAGAAGGGGCATGGACGCGAGACAAGATGAGACGTCCATGCCACTTCACGAGAAGGGGCATGGACGCAAGAAAAGATAGTAAGTATAAGAGGGCCATGTTGTGTCACGAGAAGGGCCACAGACATGACTGAGAAGTCCATGGCCGCGAATGAGGAGGCCATGTCACCTCATGATCCAAAATATACTAAGTCTGAGAAGGCCATGCCGCCTCACGAGAAGGCCATGGACATGAGTAAGAAGTTCATGGTCGCGAGACAAGAAGGCCATGAACATGAGTAAGAAGTCCATGGCCGCGAAGCAAGAAGACCACGACCCCCTTTGCGAGACACTACATGCTCGTCAAAAGACTAGCATGGCACAAGATTCAGAACAAGACCAGGCAAGGCAAGCTACACTCCAAAACCCACGACGGTTCCAAGAGAGGCACCTAGGCGGTTGAAGGAGTAACCACCACTCCGAGGGAGCAAGGAGCGGTTCTTTTTGGGAGTTGTCCAAGAGGCGGTTTTCTACTGAAGAAGGAGGAGCGGTCTTTTGTAGCAGTTATCCAAAAAGCGGTTTTCTATGGCGGTTACCTCCTCGGGGCTATAAATAAGAGGAGGGGTCGACAGAGACAGAGGTTCCAAAACCAACACTCTGACACACATGTCAACTTTATCCTTTACCTTTTCTCTATCATGTAGCCATAGATGTAGTTCGTAGTTTGGAGCTCTCGCCGAACCTCCATAGGAGTAGAAGTAATTTAATTTAGATCTCGTTCCCAAAAACCATCAATCAAACACCCTCGTTTGAACTTTGTTTGAAGAGGTTTGAGTCGTGTCTTAGAAATCGTTGTCCATAGAAGTCAAAGGTGCAATCCATCTCAATTCAACGCAAGAAGTTTTCTCGCCGGAAAACACTTAGGTGAGACGGCGAAGGATGCTTTCTGGGAGGCGGCGGCTGCTCTTGATGTGGGGAATTAGTTGCCTTTCATCGAATACTTAGATTGGGAGAGAAGAACAAATAAAAAGGGTAAAGTTTTTTATAACATTTTTTGAACTGCATATCAGGAAACTTCAGGTTGTTAACGGATCAAGAAAATTGGGGATTTGGAGAGGCTTGATTTTGAGCACCTCGACGCAAAGGGAGAATGTAATGCCGGTAGATGAAGGCGGAGATCGAACTTGTGGATTCTAAATGAGCTTGTGTGCAATGTAACAGTTCCCTTGAGCCTTGCCACTACTGGCTTTTTCATAATGATAATCTTTCAGGATTGATGTGTGTCACGTAAGCTGATAATCGTTTTAAACACACAAACTAAAACATCATTAAACTTTTCAAATGATTAAACACCAAAATATGTTCTTGCAAGTTTGCAATAGCTTTTAATCGTGATTCAATCCAGCTATACTTCTCTATAAAAATTACTAACAAAAACTGTTGTGATCAATTTAGTCAAAATAGCGCTTTAAAACTGAAAAACTTACGGTTTAACGCGTCTAGATCACCAAAACGTTTCTATGCAAAAACACAGTTTTATAACTAATGTGGTTAAAAGAGCGCTTTAAACTTAAAAACTTACGGTTTTACACTTCTAGATCACCAAAACACTTCTACATATGCATGAAAGAATCATAAAATTTACTTAACGTAGATGGTGAGATAGTTGTTCCTAATTGATCGGATGTAGGATTTGATTCCCATACCCAACCTAATGAAAATATTTTCAGCCCCACCTCTCTACATATCTCCGCCACTGCCTACTGTCCGTATTTGAGGATTCATAAGCAAATATCTCGCTCAGTTCATCTTAATGATATATAAACTTAGAAAACTTGGATCAGTGGTTTTTTGCAATAACTGATTAATCATGAACAGGGGCGAAGTCAGAATTTTTAGTTCGGGTGAGCCAAAAAAAATTTAACCTAGCCTACATTATCGTTTATGTCCAACATATATAACTAGGTTAAAACCAATAAAAAAAAATCGGCATACATTTTGCAGCCTAATCTAAATTTTATTAAATGTACACTTGAAAACTCAAATATTAAAAAAAATATTCATAACTAGTGCAACATTTATTGGATGTCCCCTTGTGAACATCCGATAAAATTGGAACGATAAGGAGTGATAAGTTTTTACATATGTAGTGTGATATATTGAAATTTAATGGATGCACTACCAATCTAGAACGCTTTTCATTTACTTATGTAAGACAGGGTCATTCTTTTGTAGTAAGCTTCAAAGTTTGAGGCCCTCAATACAGCTTCATCTTCCTTAAGAACAAATATGCAAGTAAGCGATAAGCTGTGATCATCACAAACAAAGCACCAACTTCCAGCCCACCTGAACCCACTCCCATTTCTCTGATGAACCCACATTCGACATCAGACCGCCCTAACGAACAGCTGTACTGGATCTTCAGCAGCAGCTTGTATGTGTGGTAGTTGAATGATACATTGCGCGCCCACTCCATAAACCCCGGGACATTCTGCATATTTAGGTAATGTTCGAATGACCCAATCGCATAATCGTACGAATACAATAGAGAAATCTTAATGAAGCTTCTAATTTACCTTGAGATAAAATCCACCAGATAACATGAAGGACATCACAACAACAGAAGCAATTGTTGTTGCTTTCTTCAGATCCATGAATGCTGCACCTATTGCCAGTCCAAGACCCTGAATTTCGATGTAGCTTATAGTACTCAGCATCAAACCTTGTGGATGTAGTTACTTGTTAGGCACGGTAAAGTTCTTGTTATAGTACCTGAGCAGCAATGATGTTGAGGAAAAGGGCCAGGAGGGTAAGAGAAAATGCGGAGAAGCTCGATTTAAGGCCCACCATGAAGTAGACCATCAGAAGGAACAGAATAGGCAATGTGAGATCCAAGAGGAGGTCACAGGCACTTCTTGCAGCAAAATATGCACTCAGCTTGTACATGCCAACTGATCTTTCTTTAGCCAGCATCAGTCTTTCTTGTGGGAATGTGAATACAGAATTGAACAAAGGAAGGAAGCCCCAGAACACTGAGATGAAGAACAACAACCCAGCCTGTGAAATTTTGAGAAAGAGTTGTAGTTGAATCCTTGACTTCTGTTGTTGAACAATAATAATGTGTATCATTCATGGTTACCAAGTTCTTGCCTGATCCTGGAGTTTCTGAGGAGATGAAGCATCAGAATGCCACCAAAGTAGTAGCACCACAACGGCTATGGCTATGACTTGTACCACACGAATCGTACTAAGATACTCGTGGCGCTTCTCTTTGAATCCCCTCTGAAATAGGATTGAGAACTGATCCCACCAAGTTGCTTCAAAGTCCCTTGATTTTACCTCCCCAGCTGTGATCTCTACCTTGCCATTTAGGACTGAAGCTGGTTTTCTGTCTGCTTCTCCGACTTTTAATCTGTAGGCCTCGACAAGAAACTGAAAAGCAAGGACATTGAAGCCTGAGACTCTTACTTGTGAGTTGTGACACAAGTTAGGGAACTGTCAAGATGAGTTATTGGATGTTTCACCTCTTGAACTTCAGCTGGTGAATGTCTGCTCTTAAAAGCCAACTTGTCATCATCCAGTTGAGCAGGAACAGACTTGTCATTCACATCTCCATTGGAAAGATCGACGAGAAACTCAGCTGGGTTCATTGCTATGAGCGGATAGCACCCAATCGAGGAGAAATACAGCATGGCCTCGGATGCTTTCCCAAAGTACAAGGAGCTGCCTTTGCCCAACAGAATGAGCTTATCAAACTTGCTGAAAACCCTACTGGATGGCTGATGTATAGTCGTCACCACCGTTTTTCCTTCCTGCACAAGAAAACAAGATGAACCCAAAAATCACTATGTCAAGAAAGCTCAATCATTATTGTCAAGTCATTTTTGCAGTAAGTTGGCAGTACCTCAGCCATGTTTTGCAGTAACTGGACGATTCGAAGTGCAGTGGTGGAATCCAGGCCAGAGGTTGGCTCATCCAAGAACAGAAGCGATGGATTCAGCAGGATTTCATTCCCTATGCACACCCTTTTCCTCTCACCTCCAGATACTCCTCTCATAAACTTGCCACCAACCATTGTGTTTTGGCATCTGAAACATATTTCCCACACATTACAATGTGATGAAAGCCACAGGCCGGTGAAAGTTTGGCAGAATCAAATTTACCTATCGAGACCTAGCTCAGTGATGACATTCAAAGCCCGGTCTCGCTTCTGCTGTCTACTCAGGACACTAGGAAGCTGTAGTAATGCTGAGTAAGTTAAGGTTTCCTTGACAGTGAGATGAGGGAAGACAACATCATCTTGTGTCACAAAACCAATCCTGGAAAAAATTGTGCATAATAACACACCAAATCATTGACCAGCAAGTTATGGTATCTTTGTTTCGAAACGAATACCCCGAATGAGAAGGGAAGATACAAATCTCATGCATGAATATGATCACCTTCTCTTGAGTGACTTGGTGTATGGTTGATCATTGTATGTGATGCTGCCAGTGGTTTCAGATTTGATCTTTCCACTTAGAAGATTGAGCAGGGTTGTTTTCCCACTACCTGATGGACCCATCAGAGCAAGCAACTCCCCTGGCTTTACACCACCAGTGATTCCATCAAGTATCACCTTCTCTCCACTACTACCACCCTTTCCTGCAACTTTGTAGTGCACATCCTGAAACTGCAGGGCTTTTATTGGCTCAATTAGACCATTTTCAGGGGTTTAATGGAAGAAGTTATGAGAGTTGAAGTCATATTAAGCATGTCTCAGGATTTCTATTAAACAATTGAGTTATTGATATGAACTGGTTTTTTTCCGCGTGATCTCAAAAGACTCGACGGTTGACATGTCACCCTCGTAATTCACAACTCTTAGCATGGTTGATTCGAGCAATGATAATCAAAGCATAATTTTCAACTCTATGATCAGCAAGATTTTGGCTGACATTGGCACATAGCCGTGCGAAATAGCTCCTATGAACTAGTTTTCTATGCACTTTTAAAACATTTTATGCTAAAGAAGTGACCAACAACGTAAGTTAGTACGTACAGAAACCATCACATCACATCTCCGTCTACCTTGAGAGATATGGGGAAAGTAGGTTCAGGAGCTTGGAACCCTTTCCCACCTGCGTCTGAACGATGCCGGCGACTTGCGAGGTGGTCGGAGAAAGTATGATCGGCCGGGGAACAGCTGCTGCTCGGAGTGGAAGCAGGTGTCTCGTCGGTGGTAGTAGTAGTAGTAGTGCTGCTGTCGCATATAACATCAGAAATGTAAATTACCAAATCATCATCATCATCTGGAGAAGCTACTTGAAGATGATGATCTCCAGCTGCGGCGCCTGTTGATTTCCTCTCGAAGCTATGCTGCACTACTTCTGTTTCGGCTTCTTTTGTCGAGCAACCCACTATTGAAACAAGAACAGAAACAGAACAACATTCTGTTATGTGTCACCGCGTACATCTAACGACTAAAGAACATTAGACTCCACGATTCAACGAGACGTTGCTCGAAGACTTACTCGAAAAGAGGCAATTGGGATCTCTAGAGTGGGCAGAGCAGAAGGATCAATGGGTTGGGATTTTGTGTAAGTTTTTGAGTTGAGTGTTTATATAGGCACACCAGTCCACCACCACTAGTTGTAACCTATAAGGTGAGAGTTAATTATTTCTCAGGTAGATTTAGACATCTTTATTATAATTATAAAGAGAATAATAAGAGCCACTTGAGGCAATTAATTGGAGCAACAATGTGGCCACCATTACCATATTAACTCATAATGATCATGTGGGTGACTGTCAAGCCACCTTGATGATGTTTAGGAAGGTTGTGTCACTCATTGAAACCTTCTCTCTGAAATTATTATACAATCAAATGAGTGAAATTAGAGGTCGGTTCTGGTTTTTGTTTCTCTCTCAATAGACAGCAGCCCTAATTTGCGCTGTGTGCATTGGCAAGGTTGTTAAACCTTTATCGACCGATCGGTTGGACCAGGTTCGATCAGAATTGGACTTCAAAAAAGTTTCCAGAAAATCACTGGTATGACCATTAGAGAGAGTGAGGGAGAGAGCCGAAAGAGAGGGGGAGAAGGGGTTGGTTGGGGGTTAGGTAGGGTTTTTTTTGGAGGTGAGTTTCTAATAGATACATGTAAATGTAAAGCAAATTTTATTTCAGTCATTAAAATTCTAAATTAGTATTTTATTTGTATACGTATTTAGAAAATGTATAAAACATCTCAAACATGTTGAATCCCAATAAAATCATTGAACCTTAAATAGCTTATTTGATCAGCTCAACGACTTAAATCGATTTAACAACCAGTAAATGATGCTCGATAGTTTTAAAATTTTGATTATATTGCGTCATAATTGATGATCAAGATTTAGAATAGAATAGAATGGTACTATTAGTACCACCCACAGATATATTTCCCAAGTTTAGCAGTATGGCCCACATGGGTTTAGAATTTAGATGCCAACTTAGCAATCCAACTGTCCTTTTGATGCAAAAGAAGCGCTCGGCATGGCTTTGATACAAATTAGTGTGAGTAAACTATTTGGAAAATTGTATTGGTGGTTGTATCGAAAAAGTGAATGATTGGATATTTTGTAATGAAATTGTGGTTTAATTATAGCTTAACTGTTTCATATCGCTAGAACCGTCTATAAATTTAAATTCTGGTAATTAAGGGGTCGTTTGGATGTGGAAATTTGAAAACCTTGGAATTTGTCTGAATTTCCATGTTTTACAAATCCAAGGAATTGACTTGTGAAAATAGAAAAAAATTCATGTTTGGATAGGGTTTAGTTTTGTGGGAATTGATGGTGTGGAATTTGGAAAAGGAAGTAAGAAAACGTGGTAATGTCAAATCACTAGGGGGAGGTGTAGTATTCTCAATTACCATGAATGTAGTAATTGAAGCCAATTTCCATGGTCCAATTCCCATACTCTTTTTGCTCTCCCAAACGTGAATTTTTAACCCAATTACTGCATTATGTGGTAATTGGATCCAATTACTGCATTAAATTACCACATCCAAACGACCCTAAGTTTTCTGATCGGATCGTCGGCTCATATAATATGTCAAAGTCTGTGGACCCCTGCGAACTTGATTCCCAACGAACTTCAAACACACAATGACACAAATGACTTTGTGCATAATTCATATGACTGGAATTGAGACTCAAATTCATTCTTTAAATTCATGAAACAGACAACCTCTAAAATCTAGATAGTTAGATCATAGCACGCCCTAGTTTTGACATAAACAAATTTTACTCTTGTAAATTACATGTTTTGTGCAACTAACTTGCCTATATTGATTAATTATTGTCCTATGATGTTTAGTCCGATCCATTATTAGAGAAAAAGAAGTCCAAAATTGCGATTAGTTATATCAGTTGTTGCTCAAGTACGCTGTTTTTCTTAAACACTTTCTGTCCATTTTGGCTTTCCCTTTCCCATGATTTCATTTACAAGATCCTCTGCCTAGCTAGCTAGAAAAAGGTTCTCCACTCAGTAGACTTTTACCCTTTAGTATCATTTAATTTAACTAATAAGATGTTGCTTAAGTATATATGTCCTTGTTTGATGATATATATCACTTTCATTCTCTATTTTCATGTCGTCACAACCCACCACCATGCATAAATAAATATCATGGTTATGTATGCATAATAAAGAAAGCACTGCAACTTGGCATTTTTAAGTCATATGTAGTGTCATTTCCATCTTGCCTATACCAGGATCAATTAGAGGAGCATTTTCGAAATCAATTCGTTCATGTGTTGAAGGAAATCCAAGCCAGCCTCCTGAATCCTGATTATGGATTTGGTGTCTTAGTTCACAATGCATGCCTTGATTTCTTAAGGTAATTCTCTTTGTGAAAAGGAAGATTGACGAGTCAGCTTTGGTGACGGTCATCAGAGATTTGTATTACCATCGTTCTTCATAATAAGCAACCATTGTAGATTAAGGATTCACGGATCGTCACCCTCTCATGTCAGTTCGATAAGTTTATTTTTTGTTGATAGTGCTTTGACTAATTTAGGAAGCAAGCATTAAATATGTACCTTATACGCTCTGTAAAAATTTAGACGTAGGAGAACCTCGCGTCTAACTTGCATGTGCTTACAACTTTCCAATAGAACAACGGTTACTCATAGGACATTGTCGAGGACGTTTTTCCATGTTGATTTTGTGGTGTTGGACATGGAAGAAGATGTTAGCAACTTCTATGGCTCTTATAGATGTTATAGAAGGCAAACTTATGGAACTTGAAAAGTAGTATTTTTTCTTGCCTCATTCTATACCAAATTCATATATAATTGATGCGGTCTTAGAGTATTTTTACGATGAAAATGTCAACTATTTGTCTAAAGTGCAATTCATAGACCTTGTACTATTTTATGCCATTTTGGTTTTTTTTTTTTTTAGTAATTTTTAGATATAGGCAACTTTAGGACTTATGGAGCAAAGATGGACCAAAATGAAGCAAAACCAGCAGGCCAAAATCGAAAAACCTAACGGCAACCTAGCCTAACATTGTCCAAACTAGCTCAAATTTTACAAGAAGAGTCATGTGCCTCATAATATTGCGTCCACCAAATTTTAACCTAATCAAAGCACCAAAAAAGGTCCAGCAATTGTCTAGATCATCGCTATGGTTGGTGCTCCCCAAACAGCCCAAATTTTACATAGAAGCCTAAGGAGACCAAGAGAAGCGCATCGACAAAAGTTTCAACCAAATCAGAGAACGACGGTCGATCCCTCTGTTGACCCCACCACTCTCAGAATGAGCCCAAATTTGAGTGAGAGAGAGTAAAACAAGCGCTAACGAGAGCATGCGGCAGGGAAAAGTAGAACAAGTTAGAATAAATAATTCGATCGATCGAGAGAGTGTAATCTATTTTCAGAGTAAGTAATGAAGCTGGATACATATGGTGATCCACGCGATTCTAATTTCTAAGGATTGGCGCTGACGGGAGTATGTAGTAGAGCGGCAAGCAGAGAGCAGGAAAATATTTTCCTCTCTTTCTTCTCTCTCTCCCTCGCTTCTCTTTACTTATCATTCAATTGTTACTAAGGAAATTGAAAATTCTCATCCAAGAAAACAGAAAATCCTCAATTTGACGTGATGCTCAGGCAAGGTTCAAGAAAGCGTTAAAGCGTAAGGCACGCGTTGGAGCTCTGCCTGGCGTCTAAGCGTCGCCTAGGCGCGACTAGGCGTTGAAAACAAAAATAGTTATTTTTTAATAAATGATGAATGAATTAGCAATATTGAAGTACTTCCGCACTTTGACATTAATAACTTAATTAACACTTAACAACAAACAATATGACAATTGAAATAGTACTTAACAAATAATTTGTATATGTATATTCATTTCTTAATTATAAATTGCTAACATATTATTACCGATTCCAAATGTTTAAACATACGGTTAGAAAGAAGAAGACGACGTTGGGTGAGCAAGGAGCGACAACCAGGGAGGCAGGAAATATTTTCTCCCTCTTGATTTTCTCTCTCTCTCTTTCACTCACTCTCTCTCTGCTCTCTATATATATTTGGAAAAAGAATTAGTAAAAATTGTTGGGGGAAAGAAAAAAAAAACTTTTATTTGTTGCGACCTGTTATTTATTTTCCAATTAAAAGTCGAAAAGAAAAGGAAATGTTTGTTATCCAC